CTCTTCAGCTGCTTTGTTAAGTCAGGCTGTGTTAATCAGGGACAGGCAGAGAAACTCTCAATTCCAATCCCGCCAAAAAGGGTGGAAAACCATCCTTTTATACTTGGTTTACCTGCGGTTAGGATCAACGGTGTTCCGTTTTCGTTGGTTCTCTCTGGAAATATATACTGAACGAAACAAAGAATGAAATATATATTAATTGCCAAGTTTTGAGCGACGACGATATTTATAAATAATGATAATTACTATAGCTTTATTCAGCCGAGCTGTCACTTAAAGATGGAGTTTTTTCATTACATTAACACAGTTAACTGATTAGTAATCAAAGCCCGCACTGGAGGAATCTCGCTCCGCTACCGCCGAATCTTTGAGACTGAGGCCTACAGTGGATGTCAGTGATGATTTGAACTGGACTTTACAAAGGACAGGTTGGATAAGTCCTGTAAGATATACATCCCGGACAAAGTAAGTATGTAACATTGAGTGCATTATCATAATTATCTTAGATAGATCTCCTAAATTTTATCTGATATACTAATGGGGTGGTGGTGGTCGGGTGGGGAAGGGGAGGATCCTTAGCCTCTCTTTGTCGATGAAACGCCTAAAGAGTTTCTTTGTTATTTTCCGGTGTAAAAGCTTTCTGTAGGAAGGAAAGGAAGAAGTCTGCCTTCTTCCTTGAATCGTTTGGACTGCGCCCTGTACTCTGACAGTGCAGCTCGGCAACGTAGCTCGATATCTTTGAGCGACGGCTTTCCACAACGCTCCCTCTCCGTGGAAACAACCGTGTTGAACTTATTTCTGTCCAAGATTTTTAGCTCACAGGTTCCGATGAATCCCCTCAGCGTATTTCTGGCCACTCCATATTTCTCCGTAGCCTTGGCAAGGGAACACTTTCTCTGTTTCATTATCTTCAGAACTCCTTCATAACGGGCGTGAATTCCTCCCAGATACAGGCCTGTCACTATAAGGCGTAAGAGAGACTATCAATGAAATTGTGAATCTAATTAAGTTCTTTCCAGTCCAATAACTTCCGTTTATGTTATATACTTCGAATGAAATACAGTGCACCTTATTGTGACTATCACGTAATCCTATTAGTTACACAATTGGCTACTTTACGTCGCGTGGTTGGACGGTTATCACGCGATAACCCCTTGTCTGCGTCGATATGGCTCGAAAATGTAGAGAAGGGGACTGACAGGCTCTAGTCTTACACCCAATCCCAAGGCTTGATGACCAGAGGTCGTTATTCAAATTGACGAGTCAAAATTTAACCACAAGTCAAAGGTGAGTAAAAAAGGTTTGAATACTTTGGTAAGTAACCAATACTGCCACTGTAGAGTGCTCATTTGATAAGTTGAACGTGCATCTATATATCCCAAACTGTTACTAAGCTTTGGTGCCGAAAAGTAAAGGAATAAAAACGCGGTTCCATTACCATTAACAAAAGTGAAGGGTGATTGTCCGATCGACAAATTTACCCCTAAATCAAGAGAAGATATTAAGGGAAGATTAAAAGTATTAATCAACTTTAAACATTCTCCTAACTTTCAAATCCCAAACTAAGAAAATCACGTTGCAAGGGTGAGGAACTCCGGAAAATTTTTATACCCAATAACAAAAATTCGCTCTGTTCAGAAGCTCTTGTTTACTGTTGTAGTATTATCATTTTACTTAACTATAGCAACCAGATCATTTTCACGTCAGTTAACTACAACAGAACATTTATGTATCGATGATTATGATAACTAATTTTTTTTTAAGGGCCAAAGTGAATTGTTTCACAAAAGGAGCGGGCAGCCAGGTAGTTGGCCTATTAACCAGTAAATTCTACGGTTGTTGACTGTTAGGGATAACACTGCACATGGTTTATTTTTTGGAAACAGAGAACGGTTCACTATTATTTGATAGCTCCCTCAAAAGAGCACTATTCACTTGTCTGGTATCGTTAAGTGGTGTATCACCTAAAAACTTGACGACCATATGGGACTGCACTTCTTTCGCAGTTTCATAGAAGACGCCGCCCGAGAAGAGAGAAATGGGTACTTGGTTTGTTCGATACGCAGTACGTGCCAACCCACCCATACTTACAGCTCGTAAGCGACAAATGCGGCCACTCTTTTGGGCATTATATAACGCCAAGTACAACCCGGTTTTTTGCACACCGACCAGTGGGCAGCATATCGCCAGATACAGAGACAATTGGGTTTGAATCACAGAACAGTCAATCATTCATTGCATTTCGTCGATCCGGTCACTGGGGTACACACGCAACACGCGCAAAGCAATTGGTCGACAGCAAAAGAAAAGTTAAAAAAAATGAAGGGTAATACAAACACTAACTTTCTGATAGAATACCTTCATGAATTTATGTGGAGGAGATGGTATGGTGATACTCACCCAAGTGGATGTTTTCAGCGTCTTTTGCAAGACATTGCTGAGCAGAATCCGCTTTGAAATTAGTGTAGTCTGCAATGCAGTGCAAGATATACCAAGAAGCACAAAAAATAAAATGTTTAGAAACTTGAAAGGAGAGGGGACGAAGATTCTGAAACTTCAAATAGACCTTTCATGTTAAATGGGTCACTGATTTCTACGGCGCTGAAAAGAATATTTAATAAGACGCTAATTGTTGCAGACACTTGAGTAGGTTTACAGTAAAAACCCACAAGTAAGAACCTACTTTTTAAGAACTTGTTAGGCTGAAGTTTGCTAATTGGACCCCCTCTGTACAAGAACCTCTTTAGCCTAACATTTGAAACATGTTCTTATCTTGTATAAAACTAAACTGTGCACACTTTGGCAAATAAGATAGGTCAACATTTTGGACCTCTTTGGAGACACAGGTGCAATCAACTTTTCTTATTATAGTCAATTTCCCGCGAATAGTGGGAAGGGAAGGGGGGGACAGGGGGTCGGGAGCCCGGGAGAATAGGGGGCGGGAAGGGTACGGGAGGCGGGAGAGGAAAGGGCGGGAAGCGGGAATTCTAAAAGGGCGGGAGGCGGGAGAGAAATGCAAAACCCTAACTACTTGAGGAAAGTATCTCAACTCTATGTCGTCAAAGACCATTTTATAAGGTCTCAGTACACGTTAGTATTTTTCGGTGCGGCAGTAAAAGGTCTGTACATAGAGGACTGATAGCCTGTTGCAACTTATTGGGGAAACATTCTGCAAGATTCTTTCAGACTCCTGAGTTGAACGTGATAGGGAATTTGGTGACATAGACCTTTTCATGGTTATTTTAACTTTTTATATTGACCATGTAACGAAAATCTCTCTACACCGCTGGAAAGAGCACCTTAAAATTAGTGGAAATGGCAAAGTTTTGGAGCTATATCTTATAAAATCGCAAAGTTAGAGCTTCGCAAAGTCGGAAAATATTTTTCGAGGTGGGGGGGGGAGGTTTGTGCCCCCCGGCACACACACGACACACGTCACAAGTCTGTAAAACTTTCTCTCAAACCTGGATATAATTATTTTTACTAACTTTCAGGCGCTCTTTCTAGCAATGTCCATAGATATTCGCTACCTGATCAAAGTCAAAAGTTGAAGGAAAAAAATCCTGGAAAGGTCATTTAGATAAAATCACGAAATTACTCGGAAGAGGAGACAGACTTGACAAGTCAACAACCATTTAAAGCAGAAGGACATCACTGCAACCACCTCGGCAAATGTAAGACTTCGTTTAGATGTACTTAGATTTGCCAATCGATAAAAAAGAATATCAGAAATATGCCTGGGACGTTTGGTCAAGTCCGTCATATCCTATTTCCGTATTTTAATTGCATGATCCCAACAAACGCGGGACTGGTTGCTGGAGACGCGTATCTAGTCACTATCAAACTTTATCAGAACACAGGACGTTTCAGAACTGCAAATTAGAACTTTTAAGACCGTCGTCACTGAAAACGGATGTCTGAAACAAATGTGACGTGAAAATGGACTGAAATGGTAAAACTCTCAAACAAAAAAGATAAACGAGTAAGTCAAAACTTCATTAAACTGAGACCATATGACAGTATTTATCTTGGGCAGATTGTTTAAAAACAATGAAAATGCCTAAGAACTGCGTTTTGAGTCTTCAAATTTACAGGGGACGGGAGCAGGACTGAAAAAGGCGGGAGTCGGGAGATAAACGATAAAGGTACGGGAAGCGAGAGAGCAGGGTACGGGAAGTGGAAGGTTCCGACCCCCCTATCCCTCCCTCCTCCCACTAAATCATTAAAAAAATCACTAAATACCTACTTGCTTTGCAGATTCTATATTTAACAATTACATTATGAGCTCGAGATTTCGATCGCGTGATAGCTGAGGAGCGCGCGGCCCGAATCAGCTTTATAATAAAGTTCGGATATAACGCGCGCTGTCATTGGTTGAAAGAGCGTGCTCTATGAGAGTATAGACATAAGGCTGAGCTAAAGCTGTTCCGCCATCTGCCAAATTGTACCAGGTTCGACCTTTTCCGGGACTTTTTTTTTTAGCTTTATTCCGATAATTGAAAGTGAAATTTCGGAACAAGCGAGCCGGCAAGTAGTAGAAAAATCAAATAAAAATTTGTAAACATACCAGGCGCCGTAATTTACGTTATTGAAACGTGAGCAGATACG